GGCGAAGAAAGCTATTTTGTGTAGAAAAGCTTAAAAAAATGAATGTCTGGTCATATATCAAAAGGTGGTGATAAGAATTATGGCGATAATCGCCAGAAACCAAATGCTTCTGACGAAACTGTTGCAAGATAAAAATCTGAGTTTCTATCTGCTTTAAGGGGACAGTGGACGTTGGAATATGATGAAAATGACAAAAATATCAATTTTGAGATTTTTAAAGAAATTCCATATTTGCTTCATTATCTTTCAAATAAAAAATAAAAAATTATTGATTTACGATACTTTTTTACGAAGTTATTGACAATTTTCGAAACCGAAACCAATATTTGAGCTTGAAGGTTGAACGCTTCTAAAGCGAAATTAACTTTTCATCCAACCATCTGTTGGAATTGTCTGTTATATCCGCCATTACTGAATTTAATGTTGGCTGCTTGAGCACACTAGTACTTGAGAATAAAACACTAAATGAAATATCAGTGAACGTAGCAGAAACACGTGACAAAAGAAGAATTTCGGTTTGCAAAAGACGGGCTTCTGCGGTTTGGAAGGAAAAGCGGAATAGCAAAAAGTTTCACAAAATCAGAAAAAATCAACAGAATGAAAGATTAGAGGGTCCAAGTTATGCTCCCGGATCATTTTAAATTAGTGAACTTTCCCTGCAAAAATATTTCAGTGACTTTTCTTTGGTCTAACTATAATTTATTGATTTCAATTATTAACCCGGTTTGCCAGGGTTATACTACGAGTTATACTTTTTGTAATGTTTTTGTTTCTCGTGGGCCGCTGCCCAGAAATTGCCGAGACTTGTCAATAAATTACGATCCGAAAATCTCCCAAAAAATATTGGCTGTGTGCCAACATGGATAGGAAAAAATCCAGTAGATTTCACAAAATAATATAAATTTCATGATAATTGTTGCATCACGCACTAAATATTTTACGCATAGGGAATTTTAGGGATTTTTATAGTTATCAAAATAGAAAAACTGTAATATATTCCAGTTAATGATTGACATTAAACATACTTAAAATTTAATGCATTATGTTTACTCATAATTTTGAATATTAATAGGCATTTAATTCATCAAACATAGTTAAAAGATTTTTTTAATTAATTTAAAATTAGAGCTCTGAATAAAAATAAACGGAACATTTTAGAAAAAAGAAAGGTTTGAATTGATTTCTATAAATGAGGTTCACTTCATTATGCATTAGTTATATTTATTTAATAATTCAAGCAAGCAAAGTAATAGTCGGTACAAAAATTCTATTTCAAGAATTCTATTTTAAGAAACTTACTCAATTTTAGGGAATTTTCTAAAATGTACAAAAACCAGGAGAATTTTAAATAAACCAGTAGACCAGGAGAAACTACAAAAATCCAGTAGTCTACTGGAAAATCCAGTAGAGTTGGCAGCTATGTCTTTGGTAATAGTTACAGCTGACGAGACACAAAATTCAAGCATCCACTCCCATCTGGAGGATCTGTATGTGACCTGGCATGTGTTATTAAGTAATCTCGTTCACTAGAAGAACACTCTCACTCATGTGATTTTCAAGGAAAATTCGTTTTTAAGTCCATAATTAAATCTGGTGAGAAAGCATCCCTACACTTTGCCGGCAACAACAGTTTTTGCAGAAAGATAGCTGTTACATCTTCCTTCCATTAAATTAAATTTTTACCTTGCGATAGATGGCGCATGTGCACATCTGTAAGGATACATAGCTTTTCTTTCCAGTCTTTTGTTTGTTGTTGTTTCGTTAAGTTTAAATAAAAAACACTAAAAAATATTGGCTCGCACTGATTCATTTCAAACCAATAGCCAAAAAGATCCCGAGATACAAAAATAGCTTTAATTTTTTCAGAAGAGAAAAACAGTCAATTGAGCAATGTGAATCAATTAGCCGTTCTTGGTGCATTAGCCACAGATAGTGGTTTTTCCCCCCCCAGAGGAAGAAAAATTTAGCACGACCAACGTAAATTATATGAGCCATCCAACATTCATTGCTTGTGAAAAAACGGCTAGCAAACTGTTGGATGCTTGCCTAGAAGAAAATTTAAATTTGGCTGTCTAAGAAAGAATTCCCGTTATTGTTGATGGAGGCTGGTGCAAAAGAACCTATGGCCATGGATATAATTCTGCTAGTGGAACTGCGGTAATAATTGGCCATTATACACAGAAAATTTTATATATTGGAGTAAAAAATAAAGTCAGCCTGATATGTAATGCCATTGAAAGAGGAAGAATTCAAACAAAACCTCCTTTTTGTAGGAGAAATTGGTCCGGTGCTTCAACAGCAATGGAGAGTGATGTGATTGTGGAAGGACTACAATATCTGGAAACAATCCACTGCATCCGTACAGATGCATCAAAATTCAATGGGAACAGTGGCATTTAGGCACGAAAGCTCTTGAAGCAAAAGCTTACCCGTCTAGTCACTGGAGGAGTAAGTATAAAAATGCACAATTGAAAAATGGGCCGAGTCATGTCTTTGGCAAACATGACAATTGTGAGGAGTTCTGTAATAGAAAATATGTTCAAGATAATGGACTCCGTTTGCAAGTTAATTATGGAAACTGGGGTGCTTTCCGACAAACAAGCGATTGTGCAGCGAGAATTAATACAGTCTGCAGACAGCCTAATTTGGAACACAACGAATATTTCTGCTGAAAGCTACACCAGTCAGTTCTGCAAAACATCTGGGGACCAAGCGAATAGACCATTCAAAAGCAGGTGGAAAATAGCTGCATTAGCCTATCAAGAACCTCCTCAGAAATGGCTTATGTCTGCTCAGAAGAAGAAGATAAAATTTTCATCTCAACAGGATTAGGCGAAGAAAGCTATTTTGTGTAGAAAAGCTTAAAAAAATGAATACCTGGTCATATATCAAAGGGTGGTGATAAAAATTATGGCGATAATCGCCAGAAACCACATGCTTCTGATGAAACTCTTGCAAGATAGAAATCTGAGTTTCTATCTGCTTTAAAAGTTTGTTCTTCTGAATTTTTACAATATATATTGGTTCAACGACGAGTATACTATTCGATACTAAAATCATTATTATTACTTGATTCTTCCATATCATGCTTACTGGACACATTACTGCAGGAGCTTATCAGACATAGAGCTCCAACAATGGAAGGTAAAAGGGTCCATGTACCACTAAAAAATATCTTTTCAGGGGCAACACCTCCAACATAGTAAAAAAAAAATTTAAAAAACAACCCAATTTTAATATTGAATAAATAAAATTATGAAAAAATACCTCTTTATCTAAATAATTTACTGGGTCTTTTGTTACAAGTGTGTAAATATTTTCCATGTTTTATATTTATGCAAATAATAACCCTTATAACAATGAAAAAAAAAAGATTTATCTAAAGATGGTATAAGCAAGGCGATAGACGTACTGTTAGACTCAGGCGTAGAGCTATACGCCCTTTTTGATTAAGGTGGCTTACTCAAACAATTAAGCAAGCGCCTTGTAGAAAAAGCGTGAGTCAGAAATGGATGCTGATCCAGGTTATAACAAGTATGTCCGCAGCGCTTCAGAGAATGCTCGTAATGGCTTGTCTGTCATTATTATTAAGCAAATTATCACTGATGGGGTTATATCGGGTGAGGTCCCTAGAGATAGATGATCCACTTTTGAACTTGTTTTATTACCTAAGCGTCAAACAAGAAAACCTGGTTCAGATGATAAGATCTTATCTCTATATGCTAAACGCATAAGCTTATCAGATATTCAAATAAAAGAGTTATATGACATAGAAGTTAGTGAAAGACTGATAAGTAACATCACAGATGCTACTTATCAGTCTTTAGAACCAGTCTATCCTTTTTATTGTTTCGTAGTTAAAGTTAGGCAGGATAAGCGGATCATCAATAAATAAGTCTATGTTGAGTTAGGTATAGACAGATTGGGCATGAAAGATGTTTTCGGTCTGTGGATGAGTGAAAATGAAGGAGCTAAGTTTTGGTTAGGGAATTTAATAGAGATTTTACCTATTACATGTATTAACATTCCAAAAACTCTTCCTATTTTAGGCAAAACCTGTGATGAACAAAACTTTTGCCTTTTGCACTTAAAATAATAAAATCTTAATCACTATGTGCTAGAAAGAACATGTTGCATGAGAGCCTGCAGTTGGCAAGTATTAATATGTTTATATAGTAAGTTTAATTTTATTAAAATCACTGGGGTACCTCGGGATTGTGACACCCGTGCTTACCTCAATAAGGTAAACCCCCTGAGGAACACACTTAAATATAAGCAATTATGTTAATAACCACACTTTAAGAGATCAAAATTAGAAGCCTTTAGCATGGCCAACTCTTTGATATTATACTAGGCACACCATACCCTCCAACTGCTACGGAATTTCCATAGTTTCAGAAATCTCTTTTCTAACGGTAGCAAAATGAATGTCTTAATATTTAAAAAAAAATTTTATTTTAGCGTAACTTGTCCACTATTACTTATAAAAGTGCAGGCCATATGGCTAGATTCTTAAGTTCTGATAAAAGTTTTATGAGAGATCCATTTGATTTAAAAATTTCTACTTTCGCTACCACTAGAAAGAATTATTTTCAAAATCCTCATAAGTTGGAGGGTATGGCACACTAACTTGATATTATACTAGGCACACTAAAATACTATCGGATATGGAATTATCAAGGACTTCACAAATATTATTCATATCTAGTAAATTAAAATGAATAACAGTATTATACTGGTGTAAAATCTCTAGGGAAACTGGATTGTGATGCCCATGTTTACCTAAATAAGGAAAATACATTGAGGAATTTAGCGTATTGTTAAGCTCAATGCCACAGCCAGTGAATTAGTCTGAGTATGTTGATAAAAATACTGAATTGTTAACTATATTTAACATAGAAAAAAGAAGGAAAGAACTACTAAAGCTCTTCAGTCCTCAGCTATGAAAAACCCAATGAATGAACTTAAAATTCCATGTAACTTTACTTAAAGATCAAAAGAAAGAAATAATTCGATCTTTATTTAAAACAAGTACAAACAATTTGTAAATAGTAATCTTTTATACATCCGAATAAAAACATTTTGTAAATAGTATTATCTATGAAATGTACATGGTAAATAAATGTCTACATTAAAGAACAAATAATGCATAAATAGAACAAACATCTAAATATATAGCAGTTTTTTATATATATCATTTTTACAAGTCTTTTAAGAATATAAATATTTATACGCTCACAGTGTTTTTTATTTTGGAATATTTAGAAATAGTAAATGGAATATTGAATTAAAAAAGAAAAATTAAAAAGAATATGAAAATTGAAACATTAAAATTATAAACAATTCAAAATTGGCAAATCTAAGGGTTACAACTATGAACACTGTCGGTAAAAAGTAAATACTCATAGTCTTATTTTATCACAACAAACAAAGCTTTCTACTAGTTATTTAGTATTTGGTAGCTTCATACTACTGTTAATCAAAAATACGAGGTTAAACCTATGTTACATTTTAAGAGCAATAAAGTTAATTTCTGAACTATACTTTAATATTTAAATACCAATTTTTAACAGACTGTTGTATAAATTCTTTTGTCCATGTCCCAGAAAATCTAATTCACTACATGAATAATAATTTTCTCAGGGTACAAAAAATTATAATTTTTCTTAAGAATGAAGTCTGCAACTGTCTAAAATATTGGTTAAATTAACAAAGAATTTAGACAAATTAAAATTTAAGAGAAAATTGCAAAACTAAATTTCACACAAAACAAATTATTTAATGGACAGTTCTTCTAATAAAATATTCCAGAAAAAATGGTACAAAATCAAAAAGATATAATCCTCACATTTTAAATTTATAGGTAGTCAATTATACAAATTAAATGAAAATCAACTATTTCTGTAAAGCCAGCCTAAGTTAGTGAATTCAAAACACACATATTTCAGGTTTACATCTTGTGTTATATTAATTTAATCTCACTCCTAAAGTAATTTCTAAATTTAAAGATTTAATTAAATTCAGTAGAGTCCCGATCATCCGATTTAACCGAGCAATCAAATATTTCAAGGACTTCCATACATAGAAGTGGATAGCCTTGTGCAGGACGCCCATACGTTTGAATTTAGGGAGGGGGGCTCATGAAAGAAAAAGACAAATAGCTTAATGAATTAAAAAATTAATGAAAGGACATTTTATCTATTAAAATATTTTTAACTTAATTAGCTGAATAACTAATTAATTGAATTGATTTCACTTTTAATTATACATGATTAATCAAATACGCATGTTTCACTACACATATATTTTCTAGGGGAGAGGGCCCTTCAGCCCCATTTTTTCCCCAATGCGCGCTGACGAACTGAGCTCGTTAGCCATCATTATTCTGCATTGACTATGTTAAAAACGAAAAGTACGTAAAAACTGCTATACATGTACTACGAATACTTTAAGAAATTTTTAAAACGCGTGAGGTGAGCTATCTACTGCATCCAGCGATGCCAACTTGCTCCACTTTGTAAAATAGTATTTCCTAGTGATAGCGAAAGTCAAGTTACTTTCAGCTTAGTATTTTTCCTTTTAAGTAATTTTTTCACCACTAAATATAAAAAAACTAAAAATAACATACAAAATGCAATGTTAAAGCAACAATCTACTGGTTACTCTATTAAAAAGTAGGCGTAACTGTTCTTCTCCAACAAAATTTACCACGTAATTTGCTACCACTTCATTATAACAATTCCAGAAGACGGAACAGTTGGCATCGCAGAGAAGGGTCACATTTTCGTAAGAACGGAGGTGGAAAACAGATGCCACTTTCGACTACTGTTTGTACGTAATACTGCTCATTACCCTGACCGTCAAAGGGTTAAATGGAATTCATTATGAGCAAAAACAGCTTCTTTTTTTTTGTTAAAACTTTAATCATATTTTTGGGGGCAAAAATAAAAGCAATATTCTGTCATTTTTTATATCATTTCACTCTAAAATAGCAGGAAATTTATGTAACAAAAATACATGCAACACATATACACAGATGTAAATTTCATTGAATATACTTTCCAGGTTCTTCTAAAAAATAGTTAATAAAAAAATCACTCAAACACATAATTAAGTATAATATAATACTTGATCACAAAAAGGAACTAAACTTTTACTAATTCTTTAAGAATAGAAAGCATTCGCAAGCATTGGAGCTCATTGATGGAATACCAGAAAGGTTGAAAAATAATAAAAAAACCAATAGTAATAGATAACATTTGACGGATTTAAAATATAAAATTTAGTGACAAGAACAAGAAGGGATTAAAATCACTGCATTAAGTACTAGATTAAATACTCAAGCCAAGGTATCATTAAGTACATTAAAACATTAAATACTCAAGCAAAGGTGGTGTAAACTAATAACGTTACCGAAACAAATTACAAAAAATTTAGATTAGTATTTTAGAATGGTAAAATAACTCTATTTTTTACCAGTAGAAAATAAACTTTTTTTTAGGGAGCTTCAACCATTATAATGTTTTTACAACATTTAATGACTAGAAAAGATTTACAGAAACTGATATAAATTTTACACCAGCACTTTTATTAATTTTATTTTCAAACAAAGAAAATTGTCTTTGACAATTTCCATTTTTTTATTTGGAAGGGGAGCAGAGGTATTTAGATCTATAACAAACATCCTTTCCGTTCCTTCAAATGAAAAAATTAGACAAGGTTGTTTTTTTCCAATTAATTCTAATCAGTCAGTTTTAAACTCTTAGAGCTTAATTTTAAATCTACTTTACATTTTCTGAATTAAATGAAAAATTATATATCAAGGCTAAGAAAAGTTCAAGATTAAATATTTTTCCGACCAACATTAAACCAAAAACTACAGCTCAACAACTTTTCCCATAAAAAGAATTAGGTCGTTTTTACAATTATAAATTAAAAATACAAAGGGATGATCAATAATAAACTCAGCACAATGAGTTATACAATAATTACTCAACATTACAGCAGTTGATGCAGCAGCTTCAGTTCCCTCTTCACTTACTTCTAGAACTGCTTTGTGAATTATATCAGACACATAAAGGTTTTCTTTGTCACTTATTTGATCAAAATGAGCACCTGATTCAAATGCTCGTCTCAAGCCTAAATTTTTAAAATTGTTTTTCAATGATTTTGAGTACTCCAAATGAAGTTTTGGTAAAGCCACTTCAACTTCAGTTTGACACATGTTTTCTTTTACGTGTCTCAAAAACTCAATCGTTATTTGATGTTCTAAATCATCCACTCCATCCCGTGAATTTGGCAGCAACAATAGCATCGCTAAGTTCTCACCTTCATAGGGTAATTTGAGAGCTTTGAATGAATTATCTTCAACATAAAAAAATTTCTCTTTTATATGCATCATTTCAACAAGCTTAAGTTCATCCTCTAAACCCTTATTATAAAAATACTGTAAAAAAGTGGATTTTTCTTTAAAGGCATGCAACCAAAAGCCTTTAAAGTAGACGGCATTTAAAATTGCCAATTTAGTGTCAGAATCCAAAGAGTCCAGTAAATGTGAAATCTTATTTTCTGTTTTAGTTTTAACCCAGTCATTAGCTTTCTCCACAGCTGCTGCAGAATCATTCATAAAATCAACATCTACAAATAGTGCATGAAAGAAATCCTGTAGTGATTTTTTAAAATCCTCTTGAACTGAAAGTTTACAATCCCCAAACACCACATTTGCAATACTCAATGTGCATACGCTGGATGTTTTTTTATTTATTTCAGAAAATAGATGGAGAAAACTAGTTTTGACATCTCCAGACTCTACTTTAGCTGCTTCATATCCAAGAACACTAGTCATCTCTTTAGCTGTTTCATGACTGGATCCAATAAATCCCATTGCAAGAGCACTTGATATACTAAATGGAGAAAAGAAGACATTTCCAATTTCTTTTGTCAGTTCTTTAAGAAGGTTAATTCCTAAATAATTTATGGCTTCAGACATAGCATCGTAAGAATCCTAAAAAGAAATAAAAAGTTATCTTAGAATAATGTTAAAATAAACATAGACCAATACAGATAAAAAATTTTCTTGGTGTTTTCACACGTTTTAATTGGTACATCACAAAGATTCCATCAAAAAATTAATATTAATACAATAATATTACACGATTAATATTATACGACAATGTTAAATACGACATAATTCATGTAAATTTATTCACTAATGAACCGACTCCGATAGTGGTTTTGCTTTTGGGTATGCTTGTTAAAGTGAGAACCAATCGAATTCGGAACTATATTCTTGAATATTCTCCACAATAAAAATATTCCCAATAAATATCTCCAAAACATTACTATCGAGAAATTCAACTTCTACTTTTCCATTCAACAAAAGAGTGTATTGATTCTAATTAAAGTGGGAAAAAAATTATCAACATTACTGCTTTATATGGTAAAGAAAAGAAACAGAGGTGAGTGTGACACAAAGTGAAAAACCCTAAATATATTCTGTGCAAAAAATTGCTATAAAGACATGAATTTCAGAATTGGCAAGTTTTATCCGGTTTTAACTGTGGCATTATCCATCATGTCAAAAAAAACTTTTTGACATAATTAAAAACTCAAAATTTAAGAGTAAAGATAATTATTAGCTATTTTTAAATAAAAAGCATTTATACATAAACATACATATAAAATTATAAATGATCAATTAATTTTGTTCTTGAATCATCTTGATATTAAACTTTCCTTTTGACAAATACTGTCAATAACCAAAATTTTTGTGTAGAAAATATTAAATAATCACAAATAAAAATGTGCAAAATTGAAATCTATGAAATCTGTTCATTTGATAAAATATTTGAAATAAAATAAATTAACAATCAGCTTAATTAAAAAGAAAACACTCAACAATCATCTTATTCATTACATTTAACACCATTTTCATTTACTTCCATTTTAACTCCTTTCCCAGAAGCATTAACTCCAATAAATAAAAAAATTTAAAACAGCTTTAACGCTAAAAACCTCAGCTTTCTTTGTTACCAGGTATCTGCCTCACCATACATGGAAAAAGTGACAATAAAAGCAGAAAACATTCTCAATTCTTAAAACAAAAAGTGTTGAGATGAATATAACCAAAAAAAAATCAGCAGGGCAAAACACATGGTTCAGTATAAAGTATTTTAATTTCAATTCTTCAAATTTCGATTTTTCATTTGTCTTCCAGAACATAAATTTCCAATCACAAAATTTTTAAAATTTAACAAATATATGCAGAAACCATTTTTGATAATGTAGAGTAAAAAAACTATTTTAAATTAGTCTTTATTTAATATATTCAAATTAAAAAATTTTTTTAAAAAACTTAGTTAAAGAAATACTTTTTCAAAAAATACTTTGCCGGACATTTGGCAGAATACAGAATAATGACCAAATATTCATTAAATACCTAAGCCGGATCAATATTTATTTATTAATTCTTTACGAATTCTTCAATAATTTTTATTAAATTTTATCATTATTCAATCAAAAAGGAAAATGAAATCTCTAAGTGATGAAATTTTGTCATTGAATGTCTCAAATCCAGATGAAAAACTTAATTAATAAGGAATCCTTAAGTTCAAGCAATGCAGTACTGATCTGTAAATAAAACACAACACTAACACCATCGGCTTACCGGGGATGCCACTATAGCAGGTAGAGTCATCAGCACAGAAAATAGCTTAAAAAATAAAGTGACCAGCGTCGTCAAAAAAATGAATAAGCGAAAACTCTTTTCCTTTTTAAAAAAATTATTTCTGTTATAAAATTTCTGATCTATAACGAAAGGGTTTGAAAAGATGGAACAGTTAGTTTTTAAATATTTGTTTAGACATTTTACTACTAGTAAAGTAACTGCTTATTTGACAATTAATTCTATTATATTTTAATATTATTTAGTGCAACCGCAAACAAAAATTTTTTCTCAAAAAACTCATTTTTCTCAACATTTCAAAGTTTTCGTGATATTTCTGACATGTATGAACCCTGTCCATTACACAAAGCTTGCCATATTAAGTGCACTCTAGTTTCTGCATTTTTTCAGAGGAAAGTTCAATTTTATGCAAAAGAAATATTTGTTAGAAAGATGAATATGTTAAATTTAATAACAAATAATTGGATGACTTAGATGATTGATGAAATTTTCAATTCTTTGTGTGGCTCTCAAGTAGAACCGGGAGGTTGGTGCAAAAATTCCACTTGTAAAATTTTTTTTGTTGAGAAGTGTGAATTGATGCAGTGGCATCCCCCCCCCCCAAGCTCTTGGACACAAAAAAAAATTCTGTTGTCTAAATTCCTCCCCCAAACTATTCGTTTTATTTAGTGTAAAAATTCCCCCCAAGCTTAAAGTAGGTGCAGCGTGCACCCACCTTCCCCCCTGAATTGATGAAGGGCCATTCTCCTGTTATGCACGNCGGTCTGGGAAGCATCCCTGAGGATGATCCGAAGACAAGTTATCACAATTTTCACCCTCTGCAGAGGGGATGGCACCCCCGCTTTGATAGCCCAACAACCTGCACCCGAAGTCAAGCACTTTACGGTATGGGGCCATTCTCCTGTTATGCACAGGACATTTGCAGGCCTTTGAAGTTTATAAAAATAGTAAAATAATGGGGTAATTAATTTTTTTTTACAATTCAATTCAAAACAAGTCTGTTTCTTAAAGACTGCATAGAAAACAAATAAAAAATTAAAGTTTAAATACTTGGAAAGGGATTTAATATAGTCGTTATGCACGGGACTCAGAAAAAAGATTAATTTCTACCCTGACTTCTATTTTTCATAAACTCTGTGAATTTAAAACTTGCATATTGTCATTATATTTTTTTCTTAGCTGATAAATATTACTTCTATTAAATTATGCTGGATGTTTTCCAAATACATTATTTGATAAAATTCTAAATTTATTTTATTTGTGTTATGCACGGGACATACCTAATGTTATGCACGGGACATGTCTGCAATTTATTACACACGGAAGCATACATTTGATTTAATTATGTATATTTTGAAGTGGCAACACTAATTCATATTTTGAATTTAGTTTGGTGATCTGAATTAGAAGCTTTATAAATCATTATAAAGGATAATTACAACTGTATCGCCAAAGAAAGAAAACAGAGTTTAGGAATAATACACCATCAAGAAGCCAAATTGAAAATGCCTACAAGATTTATCAAGCTGTCGGAAAAGCAATGAGAAAATCATTAAAATCTTTACCTAAATCTCCAACCAAAAAAAAAAAAAAAGTGTNACCATATATAAATACAGTGGAACCTGTCTAAATTGACCACCCTCGGGACCAAGTCAAATGGTCACTATATAGAGGTGGTCACTTTATGAAGAGTCTTTAAAAAGGACTCTTTAAATAAAACTTGCAGAAAATGGTCACCTTACTCAGATTCTCACTTTACCCAGGTGGTCACTTTTACAGGTTCCACTGTACAAAGAAATTTGAGAAAATATACGTAAACAGAAGATAGTCGTAGAATGCGGGAGTCTTCGTTAAAAAACAGGAGACTTGGCAGGTATGTCATTATATTTTAATATTATTTAGAGCAACCGCAAACTAAACTTTTTTCCCAAAAAACTCATTTTTCTCAACATTTCTAAGTTTTCGTGATATTTCTGACATGTATGAACCCTGTCCATTACACACAGCTTGCCTTATTAAGTGCACTCTAGTTTCTGCATTTTTTCAGAGGAAAGTTCAATTTTATGCAAAAAAATATTTGTTAGAAAGATGAATATGTTTAATTTATTAACAAATAATTGGATGACTTAGATGATTGATGACATTTTCAATTCTTTGAGTGGCTCTCAAGTAGAACGGAGAAGTTGGTGAAAAAATTCCATTTGTAAAATTTTTTTTTTTTTGTAGAGAAGTGTGAATTGATGTATACGGGAAAAAGAGTCAAATGTTCTGAAGGTCCTGGTATAGTTGTAGAAATTGATAAAGGTGAATTTGGTTAGAGAAAATACAGGAATCTGTCTAGGTTTTTCTGAAAGGTACCCATTTTGTGAAAATTTAGACATAATTTGTGACAAATTAAAAATTATATTAAAAAATCAATACAAAAACATGGTAAAAATATAGATTTATCGTTTCTTAAGGGATACAAAAATAAAATTTTAGGAAAAAGTATTTTGTGAAACTACCGTTTTTCCTGAAGTTGAATTTGTGAAAGTACCGCTAAACGGTAGTAAATTCGGCCTGGATAGACCCCTGAAATATAACCATGGTAAACGAGAAAGTAGGAAATGAGAATGAAGTGAAATTGAAAGTGGGAGTAATAAATATTCTTTGTGGTCGTAGAAAATCTTACGAAAGTGACTTTGCTTGAAGTGAGTACCTGAAGTACTTGTTTGAAGTAATGCTGGAAATGTAATGGCTATGATTGTCTGAAAAATTATTGCATTCTACATCAGTGTGTCAATCATTCTTTGAATTCTGCTGATCCAGAAACTGGTACCCATCCCAATAGGTTCGAAGCAGAGTTGGGGTTTTGGACAGGACACGTGGGTTTTACTGTCTTAAACTGGGTAAAACTGTCTTAAAGTGTTCAAAACCTTGAACTTTGGTAAAAGGTAAAAATTCTATAGGTGTAACCATTGTACGCATAATAATTACATGTATCAATAAATATTTGATATTTTTTATACAATTTACTATAACTTACTAAAAGAAAATAATATAATAGGAAAAGGTTTATAATTTTTGAAGCTCCACAATTCATTGAACAACAAAAGTGAATACCCAATCCTTTAAATATAAATATGCTTTGAATTCTGATAAATAATATTTTTGCATAAGGATAAATATAGCAATATTAAAAAATAATAATTTTTCTTAAAAAAATACTAAATTTGTTCAAAAATTAATCTTTTATTTTTCACAATATTTTTTTTAAAAAATGTTATAATTTCTGCATTACAGGATGATAAAAAAGACATCTATTTTAAAAAAAATTGTTTTTAAATATAAATACAATATTAGTTTAAATTGAAAATACAAAATAACTGAAAAATGTATTAACAGTTTTGAAGGGCATAACATCAGTTTCAGTTACTGACACTGGTGATGTATCACCACTATGCTTAAAGAATTTAACATGAATGAAATAAAAGTATTCTTGAATAATAGTACTATAGATAAATAAACCTGTTCATGATGAACCAAGCACTTAGTCCCTCCTAATATTTTAACCTATAACCTATTGTTAACCTGTTTCAGTTATGTACTATTAAAGAGGACCAATTGAACTTGATTACTGATCAAACAATATTAATAAAACATAATATTTTTTAAAAAAATATTCTGTAGTATATTTAATTATCAATATGTTATTAGTTCTATGTTTATTTTACCTCTTAAATATTGTTCAGATAAAATTGTGACATAATTTGAGTAAAAGGGTTTTGGACAGTTTTGGACAAAGGGGTTTTGGACAGGACAGTTTAAACCAGGGTTTAAACCGTGGATTAATCCATTCTGTCCTAAACCTTGCCAACCCTGGTTCGAAGACATAGGGAGACAAATAAACCGAGAATTTTACAGGAAAAATGCTCCCCAAAGAAATTTTCGATTCTTGTTTTGCTGAATTTATGAGGATACATCAAAACTGAGAATAGACATAAGCTGATCTATTCATTGACTCAATGCAATGAATAAAAGATTTGTAGGGGATATTTCTGTATTGTAATTTGACATGCCAAATTGATTTTTAATAAAAAAAAATTTTAAAAATTTTAAATTCAGAGGTTTGCTCGGAGGTGGCTACAAGTTAAACCAGGGTTTGTTAATTGAAATCAACTGTATATTTTTTAAATATAATGATTCAAAAAGTTAAAAAAAACAGTGTTTTAAATTATTGATACTTTTATTATTTTCTTTTTTAGTTTTAAAATTTATTTTAAATAAATTACTGCATAATTAATTTTAGTTAACAAAATTACTTTCTTTCTTGGTGTGTGTTAAATTCAACACATTTGAAATGACATTGTTAAAATTCTTTTGATTGTTGAGATTGAAAGTACAGATTAAAGTAAACATTTAATGCTGTCTTAATATTGACTTGCATAGCTGTAGAAAGTAATTAATAAACATGAATTTTTTTCACAAGAAAATACAAATAATAAATAATGTTAATCAAAATTCTACCTTTTGATTGAAAAAGCATGGAATTAAAATCTACATTATATTTTATTGGTGGAAAATGCATATTTCTAAAGCTTGAAGTTATATTAAAAAGAAATTACCTTAATATGCCAAAAATAGAAGAAAAAATGCTGATGAATTCAGATATTTTTTTCCTGATGTAGTGTCATTCTATTAAATAACCCAGAATCAGAATTGTGCTGTCTCTTTTATCAACAACTACTTTTTCTCATATGTTTACAGTATCTTGGACATAATCAGATTTTCGATAAAGAAATTTTGTGAAAGAAAATTTCAATGAGTACATAGATTAAAAAAAAAATGTTTTTAGCTTAACGTATCTATTTTATTATAGGATTAAAAATTAATATTTTAATATAAAAATGTATAGATTAAATATTGATTTATTTTTTGATGCTTGACTACATTTATAAACACAATCTGTTACATTTATTTTGTCACTTTAAAAATCAAGAGAAAAGAAATCATATCATTTTAAAATTAGGGTTTGGTAAATGAAACTTTGTTTTAATAGTTAAAGTATTCTTTAAATTCCCTATTTCATCTAGACTTTAACTTTCAATCATGCATTTGTTTCAAAATGATTGCTATGCATTCAAAGCTATGTATTATATGAAAAATTGTTTTAGGTAGTTAGAGCTTCTAAAATATTCTTACAATATAGTTTTAATATTAATTTAATTTTGATTAAACATTTATAAAGTTTTTTAGTCATAAATCAAAGTTCTTACAGTGTATTTAAATATAAACCAAAAATATCTGATTTAAATCAAAAAATCTGATTTTTTTTTTTAAATCAAAAAAAATCTATAACCCTGATTTGTACACACCACACTCATCTAACATCAACATTTCTTTTTATTAATGTTCACAAATATGAGCTTTTTTTGTTATTTTGGAAGGCTTCATGATATTGAAAAAAATATCAGATCATAATACATAAATACAATAGATTTTAAACTTGCAATTTAAAAAAAAAACGTGTAGATGTTTTCTCTGGGGAGGGGGGGGGTACGAGTTATACCTTTCGAGTTGGTCCCTTTCTGTGATGTTTTCTTTTGATTTCTCGCGGAACTCTGCCGAAAGTTGCCAAGACTTGACGATTTTTCTGCCACAGATAACAGCACGGAAAGCTCCCCAATAAGATCACAGAAGGGAACCAACTTGAAACCCGATCAAACGTCTACATATCTCATAAAAAACCTTACAAATTCAAAATCCATTTTAAGCATTGGCAATTATAGATTGAGCTGAATTCAAATATATTAAAACATGAAATATTTCAAGGTTTTTTTCTTGTTATTAGAATGTTGTTTTGCTATTACAATATCTAATTTCTCAGTACATTAAGCCAAATACGAAATCAAAAGATAAATAACAGAATTCGTGAAAGAACATAACCCATATAATATTAATTGCTCTAAAAATAGTATTAGGAATTTACAAAATTTAATAATTCTTTCACTTACACATGAATCCATCTCTTCTTCCAAAAAAATTTTTTTAAACAAATTGACTAGAGTTGAGTAATTTGGGAAGAAACGAAAAAAAGCGGTAAAACTTCTGAAAAATTTTATACTTAGAAGCCGTTTACGCTGCATGCAATTCAAGCAAATACGGTCAACGTTGACAGTTGTTGTTGTTACTTTACGTCGCACTGGAGCTGCACAATGGGCTATTGGCGACGGTCTGGGAAACATCCCGGAGGATGATCCGAAGACATGCCATCACAATTTTGATCCTCTGCGGAAGGGATGGCACCCCCGCTTCGGTAGCCCGACGACCTGCGCGCGAAGTCGAGCACTTTACGGTAGCACAGTTTAACGAGGACCAATCAACGTTGACAGAAAGGAAGAACCAAGTTTCTCGCTGTTGTTGTAGTTCATTTACGTCGCACTAGAGCTGCATAATGGGCTATAGGCGACGGTCTGGGAAACATCCCTCAGGTTGATCCGAAGACATGTCATCACAATTTTAATCCTCTGCAGAGGGGCCGGTACCTCACTTCGGTAGCCCGGAGACCTGCACGCGAAGTTGAACGCTTTACGGAAGAACAGTTTAACAGAGACCAATACCGCACACTCTCGGTCCCTACGCAAACTAATCCAAGTGGTAACCCACCCGCACACAGACCGCAGTCAGTGATGCTTGTCTTAACGGTCAGTGTCTTAACGATCAGTCCACTGCGGAGTGGTAAGTTTCTCGCTCGTGATCGGAAGTGAATGTCATGAGATTGGCTCCTTATTTGATTAAATTTTATAGTGTTATCCACGAGGCTATCCACTCACGCTAAAATAGCTACGAAACACAATTGAACCATTGCTTCACTCTTCTCGTGGCGCTACTTAGGAACAGGCTGAAATTTCACGGAATGCAATTAAAGACTCACACTGCTTAATTTCTTCATTCAAAATCAAAAATATACTAATAATATTCGAGATGAATACTTAAGGATGTATATTAGCAATAGCATCCTTTTTCTGGAAATATTATATAAATATGTATTTTTGTCTGGCAATAAAAAATTTACATTTAATTAAAATAGAGCCTGCAAACCTAGCCGCGGGGCGTTCGATTCCCGGCAGTGACACGTGCCACTGCCGGGAGAAATAAATGTTCCATTACTGGAACATCTATTTCTCCCAATCTTTTGAATCATTTTAAACTTTTAAATCTATTGCTAAACACTCATATTACATTTATATATATTTTTTTTATCTATAATAATTTTAAGTGTAAATTGTCGCACCTAAGATTGATGAAAAAATAATAAAAAAAACCTCAACTAGTGTATAAATCTACTTTTGAGGTTAGAAAATAACTACCTACGGCAGAGTATGGAACACCTCGAGGTTAAAATATAATAACCTGAGATTGAACATAGTTACCTTACGTTAGTAAAAAATAACCTTTCCAACTTTCAAAAATTAAAATTCAAGTAAATCCAAAATCCACTTTTTTTTTAAAAAATTTCGTGAAATTCCGCAAAGTTTTTGATGCGTCCTTTTAACAACTACTAGTAATGCATTTAGTTCTGAAATTTGCTTAAACGATTGCACGCTACTAAGAATTACTTGTCAAGAAAAAGAATGCTCTATAGATGGAGTTTTAACTAATCAGATGAACAATTGTAAAAGTAAAAAAGTTTTTAGCATCACGAAGTTTTTGAAAAGTTTTTAGCATCACGAAGAATTGTTTGGATCTGCGATCCAAACAATTAGATCGCAGCATAATGGAAATTATTTGGGAACTTTGGAATTATTGGGTAAACTTAACCTTTTTTTTGCTAGACTTACAAAAAAAAAAGTATGAAAATAAGGGTAATGAACATACATTCTTTTTATCAGATTCGATTTGTAATCAATCGGAGCTGAATTTATTAGGGGATATAAAGTAAGAAACAAGATAATTGCGGAATGAAAAAAGAAAACAAAATATTTTTCAATAGGTATTGATTCAAGACCAGATATATTTAATACGTAGATTAGCTGACATTTGTGAACGACGGAATTCCCGTGGAACGTTTTTTGGATTTTATTCCAATTGAAAGGTATAAATTACTTGTCTGATACTATTGTATCTTTTTCTAATGACCAGGGCATAAATAAGTGATTGTCGAGGACAAACATAAAATATCGCACCAAATATGGCAGGTAAGTATTTATTTGTGAAAGCATGATTAAAAGAGAATCAGGTTTATAAGCAATGGTTAAAAGAATGTCCCGCCTCAATTATTTTACCATGCCTAGCACATAGCTTAAACGTTATTCGTACACAAGCCGCAAGATGCGTCTTAGAGGATTATTTCCAATTTTTACTGAAACTTAGCTCTTTTTTTCTCAAGTTCTACCCATCGGTGGAATACTATAACAGAATGCTTAGAATCTGGACTGGTTATAAAGTGTCCATTGGATACTAAGTGGTCCACTTATTTAGACTCTGTAAAAGCACTGCAAAAAAGTTACCGAAAAATTATGGCTGCTCCTCATATTTTAAAAAAGAACAAAGAAGAGCTTCTAAGAACTGAACTCGCGATGTTCGAGGTCTTCTGAAGAAATTTAAGAAGTTGGAAAATATTGTGTTGACAGAATTTTGTCTTGATATGTTATAAAGACTAAATCAGACTTGCTGTTGTTGTTGTTCATTCACGTCGCACTAGAGCTGCACAATGGGCTATTGGCGACGGTCTGGGAAGCATCCCTGAGGATGATCCGAAGACTTGCCATCATAATTCTGATCCTCTGCAGAGGGAATGGCACCCCCGCTTCAGTAGCCCGATGACCTGCACGCGAAGTCGAGCAGATTACGGTAGAACAGTTAACGAGGACCAATACCGCACACCCTCGGTCCCTACGCAGACTAATCCAAGTGGTCACCCACCCGCACACTGACAGCAGTCACTGAGGCTTGACTTCGGTGATCTGCTGGGAACCGTGTCTTAACGATCAGTCAGTCCACTGCGGGACAAATCAGACTTCAATAAGCATACAGAAAAAAGGTCTTCCTTTGGATGATAGTCTCGAATTGATTGAATCCTTGATTGCTTCTGTTAGACAATAGAGAGAAAAGTTCTATACTTATGAAACAATCTCAAAGGAAAGTTTTCCCAATTTTTAATATGAAGATGAAACGACGCGTACTTCACCAAGAATTTCTCGTTTGATATTTTATTATGGAGATGTAGATGATATTATAATATAATGTAACGAAATATTTAAAGTTTATCTCCTAGTGATTGACGCATTGATTAGCCAATTAAAATCTATTTCAATGACGTGTAAACCAATAACTGATTTGTTCGTATTTTTTTTCCAAGTTTGAATTCTTTAAAGTCCAAGGAAATAATGCTTCACTGTTTCAATTTCTGAAGGTATAATGATATGAATAAAAATGAATTAGCACTATAATTTGAACATTTCAAGCATTATTTAGCCTAGTAGTATATGTTAGACCAATTTAGTTATAGATGAGATGTATAAAATAGTAAAAAGCAACAATCTCGAGGACACATTTCCATGCATTGACAACTGCAATTTGAATTTTTTGTTACCGATGATAACTAAATGTTGTGGAGCACGTTCATTCTCTAGAGTAAAATTAATAAAAAATGAACTAAGAAATAGTATGATTAAAGAAAGAATAAGTCATTTGTCAATTTTGAGCATTGAATATGATGTTTTGCAGGAAATTGATTTTATTGACTTATGTCAATAAAATCAGTTTCCTACAATGAAGAGCTAGAAGGCTTCGTGACCCAAAAAGCATAAAAAGTATTGCTATCTTAAACTTTCTATGCAAAATATATTAAAGCTTTTATTGTAGTTGTATTAGTTCATTTAGGTCGCACTAGAGCTGCACAATTGGCTACTGGCGATGGTCTGGGAAACATCCCTGAGGATGATCCGAAGACATGTCATAACAATTTTTGATCCTCTGCAGAGGGGGTGGCACCCCCGCTTAGGTAGCCCGATGACCTGCACGTGAAGTCGAGCACTTTACAATGGAACAGTTTAAAGAAGATCAATACCACGCACCCTCAGTCCCTAAGTAGACTGATCCAAATGGTCACACGCCAGCACGCCTACCGCAGTCAGTGATGCTTGACTTCGGTGATCTGCTGGGAACCGTGCTTAACGCTGCGGGGCTAAAACTTTTATAACAATATATCATTGTTTTGCATTCTTAAAATTAAAGTTTTTTTTTATTCAAAACTAAAATTTTTTCTTTAACACTACTCATAAAGGGCCCTTCAGTATAATTATGCCCAGGGTCCCTAAAAACATACAAAAGGTTCTGCGTCACATTACTTGCTAATAGCCTGGACTCGCTAAACTGCTGGAGTAAAATGTCAATGTCCCAATCTTGTGAAAGGTCCGTGAGTGATGCACTTATGTGTAAAAAATCGGTGTAAAAATGATTGATGCATTCATCAGCATCAGCGACAAAATTTTTCTAGTTTGAATCTAGGATTGGGACCTTTCGGCCCTGGAAGTTGTTGATAAAAAATATTTTACTTAAAAAATGCGCGTGGCAACACAATTTGATCTTTTAAGTTTGATTATTTTCAGACTGACGTCATTGACTGTACTTCACGTGCATCTATTTATGTATATTTGTAAACTTTGTTAAATTTATGCTAAAAGAGTTTATTATTTTCATAATAAAAACTCATTAATCATCCATAATAGTTATGAATAATTACGAAACAAGGAGATAGCAACATAGTTTCTGGGTTCAATGGATAATGCAGATCGTTGGTATTTTACTAAGGATCAGTTGGCGAATACGCCAAGTCGTAAATGTGGTATATCTGAAACCAGAGAATTATCATTCCGACAACAAGCAGCAAATTTTATCCAGGATATGGGACAACGTCTACAAGTGTATCCTTTTTTTCAATATAAAGTTCAAGATTAACGTTAAAATGATGTAATCGTATTGCTTGTTGTATGATGCTTTGTTGTCGCCACTTTATTGTTTTGTTCGTAAAATAAAGAATTGATTTAACCGCTAATATTCACTGTATAAGCCACTTTAGTCTAAGAAATTTAATGTTTTTCATATAAATATGTGTGAATGTAAGAATCAATACGACTGTATTGTAAATAACATCGTTAGGCTTAGCTACGAAATCCTAGAATCTTTATGGAAGTGACCTTAATAACTTTCCTTTTGCGGGACTGTCGACAAGGTGTCACCGTATTTTCAGTGTTGTTAAATATTCTCTAATAAATTATAAAATTGAAAGTAAAATTATTAGAACTTAAAATCGGATTCAGTTGTTTATTGTTTGCTACAGACTAAGAGCTACATTGTTTTTAAGTCCATCACTGTTGCAATCCGTCAGAGATCCTTATTTCTATATGAATTGAATCTTTTTTCTCCCTTATAACATTTTATTCATAAACTGCATAGTGTATTTAACCTTTTAAAAGGCAGCAATTTAATATTTTTTATTTTTAAACTTCATTCTTCTCTCTAGTATTGGACATAATCAATATAGAACAATGGTTAAATAAAGTTTGTTATAATAAAGTTAATTCTAAAGGCATGAAAATTAAATTAGATAAATACTAAAACTTAGGATGTATAAATTATCTTTAAAGTAAGTTCCTAAGAGTGTCATTTACTTGTGGCTAGGGATAAAAAATTTTTCCACGGTGGAAAAATTTGCAGATGAAACCAAGAAGAAAAAAAACAGCAACCATAAAGAACTGAGTTTCTTGGGGAGATTTCCGTATCGTGATCTATCTCAGACCTCTTAAATTCTTCCATGCAGCGACTCTTGAGAAACTAAAAAAAAAAACATGGAAAGAGACCAACTCGTATCTACCCCGTTCAAATATCTACTTGTTTTTTTTTTTTTAAAAAAACATTTGCAAGTTAAAAATCTATTTAGCAACTTAGTGATTATAGTTGGCGTGACAGATCACGATACGGAAATATTTCCAATTTCTTCCATCTCAAGTGGAAGAAATGTTTAGTAAAATCCTAGAATAACCCACCTCTTGGCCTTTTTTTTGAAATCTCGCCTAGTTGGCGATTATTACAGGGATCAACATTGCTGTTTGATTATTAAAATAATAAGTTTAAATTATTACTAATTTATTAAAATAATTTTTAATGGAATAAAAAGCAACTTATCTTTATTCTACATCTCCATTCAAAACCACATACTGTATCCTTTTGCTCAATCAAACACATTTGTTCTCCACATTTAGGGCATTCATATGTTTTCGAAATTATATTTTAATTCTTACACCATGCAATCATCTCTCTCTTACCTTTTGCATTCAGTAAAGTTAAAAATCCACTCGTTTATTCGTTTGTTATTTTAAAATGGTACCACACAAATAAATTGAATAATAACGGTAATAAATAAAATTATGGTTAATAAAAAAGAAATAATAATGATGATTCTAACAGCAAAGGATCAGAAGCATAAATGGTAAAAAAATAAACACTTTTACCAACTTTTGCGTTACTTTTGCAACATATGAAATAACCAATCAGGTTTAAGAATTTTAGTGATGTAATCAGGCGTTTAAAATAATCTCCCCGAAATATCTTCCAGAAACTAGTGATGTAACGAATAGTGATGGGGCCGAATACCGAATATTTGGCCAAATTTTAGGCCGAATACTTACTTTTTAAAAATTTTTCTTTTGATTGTAATTTTCAAATTTTAAATTAAAAATGAAATAAATATTAACAAAATTGCTTTTTTAATCTTAGTACATTTAAAAAATTTGATTTATTTTTTGTAATAATTTAAATATCTTGATGCCAATAACAAGGCAATATGGCTTTTATAAATCTAAATAATTAATAATAGCATATTTTAGTTATAGTTATGCTTGTAATTTATATGCTATTTTATATAAAATAAGAACTCATTACGTACTACTGTTAAATGCATTCTTAACTTTCTTTTTTGTCAGAAAAATTATTGAAACTCAGAAAATTAAGAACTTTTTAAAAAGTTTAACTTTTGAAATTTTAATTCTGTAATTAAATAATTTTCAAATTTGAAATTAAAAATGAAATAAATATTAACAAATTTGCTTTTTTAAACTTTCTATATTTTAAAAAAAATTTAACAACTTGATGTATTTTTTGTAATATTTTAAATATCTTGATGCCAACAATAANTGGCCAGGTATATTACAATTAATAATAGCATATACTTCATTATTCGGCCGAATAACTTCAGTATTCGGCTAGGTCAAATATTCGGCAAAAGGGCCGAATACCGAATAGTGGCCGAATATTCGTTACGTCTCTACCAGAAACCTAGTTTGTCTTGATTTCAAAAACTTGCTTGGCCAGATTCAGAAAAATTGCCACTGGGTGGGCCATTCGAGAATCCACCCAAATCCTTTAAAAAAGAAATATAATTAAACTGTGAATTTGAATAATAAAACATAATCTAATAAAACTTAATCTAATAATTACAAGAAGAACTTTTGAGCCAACATAATCAAATATAATTAACCCTTTTGTAATGGCATATTGCTTTAATGAAACAAGGCCACTGAATAGTTCATTGCTCCATGGATTGTGCACATTGCATGTCGACGTAGTGTTAATTTTTTGTAGAATAATAAAATTGCGTGGAAGTCCTAAAGCAATCACTAATATTTGCTGATATTATGATAGACAGCAGTTGCATGTAAAAAAAAAAAAAAAACCTTAGAAGAGAACAAAATTAACTTTGATAATTCATAGCTAAGAGTAATATGTATAGTTTAGGCAAACTACTATTATGTGTTTTATTTATTGCAATTTTTTTCAAGAACAAAAAAATTTGCAAGTAAACGAACACTTTGATTACCTAAAAACACCTAGACATTTATTTGTATCAGATAAGAGTTTCACTTTTAAAAAATTTTGCTAGCAGTAAAAGTGCTTAGTGCTTAGACTGTAGAAAGTCAAAACTTTTAGTTTTTTTATTATTAAATATTTATTTACTGTTCTGTAATTAACATTTTATAAATAACTTTTTAAAATGTCTAAGCAAATAAAGTTATTCTTTTATATTTGCATGCTTTGAAATATTTTATCAGGATCCTTAACTATTATTAGGAACCAATTGTGCATCAATACTGCCATTGTTTATATGCATAGATTTTATGTATTTCACTCTTTCACTGAGATCCATAGGAATGTAAGTTTTAATTTTAATATTTTGAAAATTCTAATCATTACAATTTTTCTTAAAAGTTGTTAACTGGTGACACAAACTCTTAGTGCAAACTTTAAGAAGATTTTTTTCAATTATCAAAAATGCCTTAAAACTTTATATTTTTCCTTACTAATTTCATCATTCATTTGTGAGACTGGATCGTCGTTTTTACTCTTGTTTAATCAATGATTTTTTATGCCTGCCACGATTGCAACTTTACCTGGAAAACCAGGAAGTATAAGGGAATTTTAAATGTTAAAATGTTAGAATGTTAAAATATCTGGGAAAACTCAGGGTATTTACCATTTTTGAGCTAAAATTTGTAAAAGTCAGCCAACATTTCCTGTAGAACACATTTCATACACGAGAGCACATTTCACACACATTCATTTATTTGGCAAGGAGCCAAATTTCACAAAACCATAGTAAGCCGGGGTTTTGTGACTTAAAAAACTTATAATTTGAAAGGGGTTATTGGTTCTTACAATCCATAACAGATAAACAGGGGGACTTGAGATTATCTATTCTTATTTTTAATTAAGAAATTTATTCAAATAAATAATGTTTTATAATCTCTTATAAATTATTGTTTTTTATTGTTAATTTCCTTAATCCTCTATCACAAATGCTTGATAAAAGACTTTATTAAAGTTGTTATTAATAACTCACAAGAAGCATACGGATTGCTGTTCCACATGGAAATTATAAAGCAATATTTTAATATCTTGGGTTCGATCCTGGTTTTATTTTGAGGGTCCATTTTTGTGATTGATGAAATTTATTTTCTTGATAAAGAACATTTAGTTTTTTTTATTCATTTTTTTTCTGCCTACGTGGTTTACGATCATTTTTTTTTTGGCGTCTTCCCTTTGTCTTTCCAAATTTATCTTTATTTATATATTACGTTGTTACAGTAGTGTTTTCATCATAGAGAAAAAATGGGTGAAAATTTTTCACCCTTTCTCTAAAACAGGGTGAGATTTCAAAAAAGTTAAGTAAGATTTCTAAAAACTAAAAAAACACAAAAACTCTTGAATAAAAAATCACTTCTTTAAGTATAAAAATTTTTAACGTCTTCTATTATTTAAAGCATTGAATATTTTTGGTGCATCATCATAGAAGATTTTGCCTTTACAAGGTATGATTCCATCATAATTTTTTGACGTTTTATGATTATCTTTTGATCTGCATTTATTTATATTTTTTGGATTTCTTCAACATGTCTTTTCTACTTTTTGATTTTTTTACACTGTTTGAATTTCGATTTTAATTTATGTTTTGACGCGCTTAATTTGTGACGATTTTGTCATAATTTCACGTCCTTTAATGATAGTTTTTTCTGCTGCTATTATTTTTTTCACCCATTTCATGTCTTTTTTCAAATTCCGATATTTTTAATCCAATGTTTTTACAATGTGAGAATTGCGATTTAGAATTATCACGTTTGACATGTTCGATTCGTTACAATTTTATGCAATCATTTTTAGAAAGTGAAATTTCAGGAAGGGGCTGTTTTCACCAATTTGAATGTAGTGAAGAGACTAATTTAACAAAGTAAAATTTTGTGAACATGCCGTTTTTTTTAAAAATAATTTTAATATTGTGAAGGAAGCCATCTTTTAGAATTTGAATGTTGCAGAAAGCGAGAAAAATGGCCCCAATTTTCAGCCTGATCAACCTCTGATATTTGTTCCTAAATTTTCTTTATTTTTTATTATAAATAGACAGATATATTTTGCATTTTTTTTAATCCTATATTTTTATTTTATGTTATTTCATTTTACATTTAAAGACATTAAAAGATAGTTACATAATTTCTCTTCATTTTTTCCCCTATATATTTTTGCCCTCCTTTCTTCACTCTCAATTATGTTTGTATCTCTTATTTATGTATCTCTTTTTTATTTTTCTATATCTTATTTATTTTTTATTTAAAATAGAGTAGAGAGAAATATATATATATTTTTTTAACATACTGTTCTAGCCTGATTTACTCTTTAATATATCTCCTGTGGGCGAAATTTGAAAATGATAAAGCTTTCTTTTTGTATCATTGATCTTTTTACTTTCCATTAGGTTTAATTGCTTTTAACTTTAATTTTATGTTTTAATAAAATTTTAGGAATACTTTACTCTTGTATTGTATAGTTTAGTTTTGTAAAGACAAATTTTTAATGTTTTTCTTTCTCTAATGTTTATGTTTTGATTTTTTCTTTATAATGAAAGGTCAGACCTTTTTTTATTTGCTTTAAAAAAAAAAAAAAAGAAAATAGAATAGGAAGAAAAAAAATTATCACTAGAAGGCATTCCAATCATATTTTGATATATATGATAGGCAGTTGTCATGTTTGGCGTATTTTATTTTTACAAATGTTATTTTATTTAATTGAGTAAATAAGATTTTAATTGCTATTGAATTCAGACTGCTGATATATTTTAGTTTCTTTTATGAGATGATTAATATTGAAAAGATTTTTTATGAACTTGTTTCTGTACATACTGCGACATTAGACTGAAATATTTAAAAGTATGTCTGCAAAAGTGAGGGAATTTTATTCTTCTATTTCAGTACCATTATGTAGCATAGTTTCTGTATAAGACAGAAATAATCGTAATTTTTAAAAAAAAGAAAGTTATCGTCAATAAATGTTTCGACACAGCTCAAAAGAGTGTGTTTGTAAAAATTTTCACAGTTTAAAATACATGTTTAAGACAATGAACACATCTGAAAATGCATGTTTAAGAAAATCTAAAAGAATGCATGTTGTAAATCAAAATCTAAGTAACAGAAGAATGCATCATTTCAATATTCAACCCAAATTGAACAATTGAATAGAAAATTTAATTCTTACTTTTTTGTTTATTTATATTGGTACAAAGTCCTAGATTTTTGGATTAGGGTGGCCAGGTATATTACAACTATAAATTTTAAGCAATGTCTTCGGATTCAAAACTCTGTGTGATAAAGTGATCTAGAAATCTGAATACGATCAACATAAATTTACTGCCTCTATTATAAATTTATAGGACCAGTCGCAACTTTGTAAAAACAACTCTTTACTTAAAGTCTTTAAGTAAAGTCTTTTGCATGATCTACGCAAGTGGATGATTTCTCACGAGAAATTTATTTCGGTTCATTAGTTAATAAAAAAAAGAGCACTATTCATAAAAGAAGTTTGAAAAACTGAAACTGCTGTTTTGTCTATTTTTCTTAAACATTCATTTTAAACTTAGCTGTGTCTATTTCTGTCAACTTAGATTTTGTGCTGTGTCCAAAATAAAAATCTTACCAAAATAATTTTGAGTTTCTTACTTGATTTTTTGTCAGTTTTTTTTTCTTTTGAATTATAATATGATATAATTATCAATGTAATTGAAAATATCTCGTAGTAAGGAAAATACCTTCTTACATTTGAGCATTTTCTGTTAATCTTTTAGCATTTTGCTAAAAATGCTACTAAAGCATGGGTTTATTATAGCTTTCCAACTTATGAGTCTCACTTAAATTTGTGTTCTGAAGTTGGAGGTTTGTTGTTAAAATTCTCTCTAATTGAAAAGAAGTAGCCAAACAAAACAGTGCAAGTTTCTATTATCAGTCCTATTACTTATAAATTTAAGACTAGTAATCATTTGTTTCTCATTTCAACTACTCATAATGTAAGTATTATGAAACCCAACACAAAGTAACACTTTTAAAAGTTGCTATTTATACTTTTTTGAGAAAGGAAGGCAAAATAGTTCATGTTCCAAATTTTGTTTTTACTTAATTGTTACTTTTATTATTCAAAGTTGAAAATTTTCTTTTTTAAAAAATAATGTAAATCTTTTAATATTTTAATTGACTGGACTAATTTTTTTCATTTTTGCCTTTGCAGAAATTGTCCCTGTCTGCACTATTTCTTGCAGCTAAAGTAGAAGAACAACCTAGGAAACTTGAACATCTAATTAAAGTTGCTCATCATTGTTTACATAAAGATCAGTCACTTGATGTTCGTTCTGATGTAAGTGTATTTGTCACCCTTTTATACTAATTTCTAAAATTGGGGGTGTAACGAAAGATGAAGTATTCTTTTTATACATAATTTGACACTGTCAATGTTAAATATTTTTTTAGGATACTGTTTTTATAAACTTAACTGCAACATGCAGTCTTAATTAAGGCCATTAATATTCTATAAATTTGATTAAAATTCCTGTGATTTTTTTAAAAAAGCATTTAAAATGGTGGTCCAATTTTGGCAATTCTATAAACCATTAAATTATAATAATTTCTCTCATAAATTTAGTGGATCTTAATCTATCTCTGTGAAGTTTGAAAAATACTAAGTTTAAAGCAAGTTGCTTTATTTTGGATGAGTATACCTTAGGTATAGTTTTTTTTTGTTTTGTGATCTCAATATAAAGTGTTGAATCAAACATTTCTGTTCTGCAAAGGGTAAAGCCATCAGTATTTTTTTCCTTCCAAATAAAGAATACTTTGATAATATATAAAAGATAAAGTTATAAGATAAAGATATACTTTGTTCTATGCATGAGTGAAGGAAAACAACTTGAATAAAACACAAAATTTGATGTACTATACTGTCCATTTCATTTTAATTATTTCCATATTTTTTACAATCACACATTTAGACATGCTCAAATTAGATGTAACTTATAAAAAAATCCTCTGTATTTGCTGTTAAAATTATATATTACTGTCAAAGCCATAAAATGCTTCATCTAAAATTTTGAGTTTTAAATTGTTTATATAGCAAGGTTACATTATGTGAATTTAAACAAAAAATATTTATGTATTCTTTAAAATAAAAAATTAGTTTTTTTTTTAATGTAATTTTTAAATCTATGGCTAGCTTTGGATTTTAAATTTAAGCAGCCTAGTTCTCAGAGTAAAGATACAAAACAGAGCTAGGAATTTTCATTCATGAAAAGGTATCTCAGAAGTAAATGAATATAGAATTTATATTTACTTACTAAAGTAGAACTTCTTAAAATTAGTAGACAAAATTGTGCAGTTTTCAAATGGATGTGTACTGGCAAAATAAATATGCGGAATATATATATATGATCCAAACTATTTTATTCTATTACTGCCAGAATTCTACATTGAAATGTTAAAAATGTCATGTCAATTTCCTCCCCGCTGCTTTGCGGATGAACCATAAATTTCAATTGAACCCTTAATAGCTAACTCATTTAATTGCATACCCGATTGTATTGTATACTCGGGTAATTTAGACCGGCAGATAAATATTAATGATTTAACAATTTATAAACCTATAAAAATGACATTCTAGCTGGGATGAATTGTTTTCTGCTTTTTAACAGAATTCTGCATTTTTCTTTTTTAAAATGAAAACTTTGCTTTTGAGTCTGTTGAATTCCCTATTATTTGCAAAATATTTTATATACAGTGGAACCCCGATTTTACGTTGTCCGTTTCGTACGTTATCTTGCTTCTTGCGTCATTTTCTGCTGATCCGTGAAAATTGCCTATACCGATAATGTTAAAAAATCCCGGATTTTGCATTACCCCTTTTATGAAAATCCCGCTTGATGCGTTTTTCGACCAACAGATCAATTTTTTTTTTTTTATTCTACAACTCTCACACAAACTTTTTTCTAGTTTTTTGAACAAGAAAAACTTGCTTTTCAGCTGCATGGAGCAATTCTTGCATTCTTTCTGTTCCATTTGTCAGTAGGGGGGTGGATAACAACAATAAAAACTACAAAGTATAAAAACTCTAAAACAATTTTTACTTGCAAATGTAAATCAAGAAGTACATTTGCAAAAAATTGTTAGTATTGAACGAGTTGTAGATGAAATTGTAGCTAAAAACAAAGAGGAAGTGAAGATTACTAATCTTTTTCATTAATTTAACTGGTAGGTGTCAATTTTTAAAAATATGCATAGATTTTTCGTAATCCCGATTTTTCGTTATTCCGCTTCGAGCGTTTTTTATCGCCAGTCCAACCGAAAACGTAAAATCGGGGTTTCACTGTATATATGTATGTATGTGTGTAAGTTCAAAATGAAGAATAAAACAAAGAAAAATTATAGACATATGAAAAAAAGGGGGGTGGGAAATAATAAGTAAAAAAATAACAAACAGTTTATTAAAAAAAAAAATAATTAAAAAACCGGAAAAAAAAAGATATAATCTTTTCTTCAGCCCACACGATTATATCCGCAAAACATCCACTGTTCATAGAAATGTGATCCTTACAATAAAAAATAAATTAAAGCTAATTCGTCATTTATCCTGAATAGGGGAGAGACTTCGCAGAATCAGAAAGCGTAACAAAAAAATCACTTTTCATTTTTTCTCGTTTTTGCAGAGCGAGTCCTATGAAGCTGAAATGTCTAAAAATACAAATACACTTTTCTTCTTTTTAGAGTAACTTCACTATTTTGTGTGTTTCATTTCTAAAATTTCAAAATGTGTTCAATGAAGTTGTAACCGTTAAAGCTCCACTGAAAAGAATCTTCTATAGAAAAATTTACATAACGATATCGGAAATTTCATTTTGGTTGGATGCTTATAGATTCACAAACAGGGTGTCCCGTAAAGACCACTTTTAATGTGTATTTTTAAANACTATATATATATATTTAAAATTAGTTCAATTTTGTTAAAAGTTTTCCATTTCTTGAGTTAAATTTCAAATCATCTTCACTTATAATGAATGAAGAACGCACACTGATCTCAGCTGATGACGTAGGATGGTAGAAACCTCGCTGAGTTCACTTGCTCAAAAGCATACCTGTTGCCACCTATCAAAATATTTAGTTTATCATTTGATTTGCTATGTCGTTTTTACAACTTTTCACTCTCTCCGAATTTCAACTTGGTTTTTGAAAAATTTGGATATTTCTCTGAAAGTTTTGCTTTAAAAAAGAAAAAAATTAAAGAATAATTGGCAATTCCACGGTTACTCTTGTTACATGTATCATGGTGTTGCATATGAATTTCCTTTTATTTATGAACTTTTTATTTTAAAATGAAATTTTTTTGCTGTATGATAAAGAAGATAGTATACCTTTAATTTATGCAAGAAAAACTTTTTGAATTTTAATAGCTTTATAAATACATAGCTTTATTTATAATTCAAATTACATGTTTTCTTGTTATCTGAAAAGGACATGAGGCATTTACAAATTTTCATTAATGATTATATTACCTAAACTATGTTATAAAATCTTATTTTAAATAATTTAAAGAAAAAGAGGTTAAAGGGATGCAAAGAGGATTTTAGATTAAGTTATTGAATAACAGCCGTAAATAACTTTTAAATATTAACACATTATTTATTACAAGAAAAATACCTGGTTACTCTGTTAGATTCCCTTTACAATATATGATAAAAAAAATATAAAACACACATTACCAGTGTAAAGTTTATATTGGTGTATTTATTTAATTTCTTTAAAGTAAAAATTGTTTCTAGAATTAACTACTAAAAGAATACTAATTTTTTTCTGCAATTTTTTTCTTTTTATAAATATTTTGTCTTGATTTTTTTGGCAATTTCCAGTTAAATCTTCTTACATTTCGAAGAACAATTAAATTGAATTTTTTAAATCACAGTAGTACATGTTTTTAATCATTTTTTTAAAAATATTAACTGGGAAAAGAATACTTACTAATATTATGAAAAATAATACTTAATCGAAGCAAGCATAATTTCTATATGAATTTACATTTGGAAAATAGCATTGAAATTTATTAATTTTGGTATGAAAAAGTTTTTTTAATTTTTTTTTTAATTATATGTTTACTTACTACTTACTCAGAACTATGAATAATTTCTCTGTCAGTTTTCTTTGTACTTTTAATCAAANTGTAAAAGCTATAGATATATATATATATATATATATATAGAATATGTCAATTTAATTTGACACCCATTTTGTTTTGATCCCTGAAATTCAATTGTTAAAAATAAAATAATCACATTATTTTGATTTTTCGTGATAAGCAAAAAAAGTTAGCTGTAACTGTCAGCCGTAAGTGGGAAGATTCAGTTGTAACTTAGTTCGCTAAAACGTTTTACGTGCAACATTTAGCTTTTTTTTCAATCATTTGTTCTGAAACTATACAAACATCTCAAGAAGTCGAAACTAACTCTGAAAATGAAACTAGCTCATTTGAAAATTCTATGTAATGAAATTGTATGTTCCATTGTTTGGAGATCATGGTGGACCTCTTTTAGTTCACTTTTGTGGAGACCATATAAGCTTATAAAAATTTCATTGTTTTCTGATGAAAGATTCGATTTTTGTTTTTATTATTTTAAATCTCTTAAAGAATGCAATAAATTTGCTTAATTAATTTTACTTTAATTATTAAATGTCCCTTGATTGTCCCCTTGCACAACCTTTTTGAGTGAAGGGCCACTTGTGCCAGCATGTAGATTAACACAGAACCACATGCATATTTAGTCATGTTGAAATTTGTTGAAATTTCTCTGATAAATTTGACTGATTTTATATTAAGTACAATTAGTATCTTCATTATTCTTTAAAAAACCAATCAGTAGTGCAGGAAATACTACTGATTGGTTACCTTCAACAATGTTTCTTTTCAGCTAACAAGTGCAGGAAAATTTGTGATCTGGCACAGTTATTTTCTATTACGTTCCTTATTTATTTCTTAATGTAGAAAAATTTTCAACTTTATAAATGTATATTTTTGTGTTCTATTTATGTGGAACTAACTTCTTAAAAATTTACAACTTTGTGAAATTTCAAATTCTAGTATTTTTTTCATATATAAATTGTGTGATATTAATGATTTTATTAAAATTAGTGATAAAAGTACTCTTTACTGCGATGAAAAATTTTTTAGCAGTTATATTACATAAAATTTAAGTAATTTTCCTTTACTTTTAAAAAGAATAAGTTGAAAATCTGGTAGCAGAATTTTCAACAGGGTCAATTTGCAGCAAAATCTTTATAAATTCATATTTGTCAGCGACTCTAACAGACTTTTATTGAAAAAATTAGATGTAGTCTGACATGTTTGCAATATAATAGGCGCGTATACTGTAAATTGAAATTATAAACATATATATATTTTTTTAAAAATTCATTAAATTTTTTTATGCTGTTTTAATATAATAAAAACATATAATGGAATAATAAAGGCTTAAAGAATGCAAAAGTACCTACACTGTATATAAACAAATAGCTAGACTTTTAGGAAATATAGATTTTTTATACATAATTTTTCTTGTCTTTTAAATTCTTTATTTTTCAATAATCAAACAAATTAATGAACATTATTTGGAATTTTTGAAAACAATCACCTATCTTTAAGCTTTTATGTCTGCAGATTGGCAAACAATGTTAGTTAAAGAACCCTAACAAGTAGTAAGTAAAGTCAGGTTGGAATTAAAAATAATTTTCTTTTATTTTTTATACTGACTTTAAATATAAGTGGATGCTGCTATCAGTAATCCAGACTGTTTCTGCTATCGGGGTTGCAAATAATTGCATTTTATAAAGGAAATTACTATTTTAAGTTTTATTATGAAGGTATGTTTATAAATGTAAATGACTGATGATTAAAATACGAATATTTCTTTTTTGAGAGTATCGTTACTTTTGTAAATTTACTTCAATTGTACCTTAAAAGAAATTTTCAAATTATCAAGAAAAAAGAGAACAAGACATTGTTTTATTGGAGATGATTCTACACGTAGTGTTAATTCTGAATATTGCCATTAAATGCCTGAAATGCTTAAAATAGAATAGGCATTACCTGTACTAGTTTTTATGAAATAAATATTTAGGTTGCGTAAAAATTAGCTCAAATTTCTACAACTTTTACTGAAAGTGCCAAAGTTTTATAATTATTTCCATATTTATGTTTTTTTAAACATGCCGTTAATTGCTTTTTCTCGTTTCGTTACTATAGGTTTAAAATGCGCAGTTTTCTACGTCTGTCTAATTAATTTTCCGGATTTTCGCTGGCTAAATTTCTCTATTATTTATCGTTATCGCAGGATGACCAATCTTAAGTTAATAAGATATTCTGGTGAGACTGTTGATTTTATGTATTACATTTTCTTTTAAAGCTTATAATCAATTTTAACACAAAACTAGTTAAAAGATTTTTTTTTAGCTATTTCTAATAATAAAATGCTAAAATTTTTCGTTATTTTTTAAAAATTTATTTGCTATAAAAAAATTCCAGAGATAATTTAATTATATGGAATTGAATTCAAATAACAGTTGTTCTAAATCAATATGCATAAATTCTTTAAATGTTACAAACTTTTAAAAACTAGAAAATTTAATTTGCTAACAATTTTTTAAAATACTAATAAAACATTTTTAATAGATTTTTATTGATTAAAATAATAATGTGAAGGAGAAATTTAAACTATAATTTTGTTATAGTTTTAAAAACATTTTATTCATTTTGGATGCTGCATTTTTTGTTACTCAGGATTCTGATTGAAATTTGACAGAAATTTCGCAGTTTAAAAATTTCTTAAAAAAAATTATATAAGTTCTTCCTGATTTGATATTTGGTAGAGTTCTCCCTAGGAATAAGAAGAAAAAAAATGTCAGGCTGCTGTCTTACAGAAGAAAAGGCACTTTGACTTTTGACAAGGCACTAAAATTTATCAAAATATGTAATATACCTGAAATATAATACCTGAATTTGATCCTCAATTTTTTTTATTTTCTGTGCATATTTTACTAAGTAATTCTTTCATTATCAATGTAACACAAAGATTTGAAGCTTTTGACAAGTAATTAAAGGCAAGCTAAAAGACAATCTTTGTGTATAAATTTTCTTTAAAAAAAAAAGTAAACTAAAAAAAGTTTTTATTCGAAGAACAACTTTAAAGACTTTTTTTTAAATATTTTAAACTGAAAATTATGAAAAATAAAAAATTAAAGGTGCATTTTTAAGTTAAAGGCATTTACTTAAAAAATTTTTTATTTTATTTTTAAAATCACTAAAGAATTCATTAAATCCCCTTCCCTCTAAAAATTTGAATATCTCGGGCTGTATATCACTCGAATTTTAACAAGACAACTTAAGAGTAATCTTACTAAAATAAGGAGTCAAATTAAAGTTAAATAAATTGTCAGTAACTAAATAAATCAGAAGTGAACTTTTCATTAAGACAAGTGGTTAAGAAAAACTTTTCCTGAAAAGAATAAAAGGCAGTACTTTTAAGGAATGGCAGCTTATCTTTACAAAAGGGCAAAGAAGATGTATCTATAGGGATAAAAGGGCAGGCGCCCTTCTGAAAACGCTTAGGGAGAACACTGTAATTGGTATAAAGTAACTTTACTCTCTTAAAGAACTTATAACAATTCTGGCTGTTATATTAAAATATTAAATTGGAATCTTTGAAAACTAGTTCTAGGTATGAATTGTTGCTTAAGTATTCTGAGTGTTTGGAATGTAGCATCCTTTTATGAAATGTTTATGTTCCTATTATTTGTAATAGTTCTGAGCTTGATGGTAGTATGCTTTTGTGCTTTATTATTCTGGTTTAAAAGAACATGCCAATTTCTGCTTGACACAATTAATCATGTGTTGTGCAGATGAAAATAATTTGGTTCTAAACAATATGATGAGTCTTTTATTACCAGACTGAATTGTTTTTATTTTCCTTCTAGGCTTACCAAGAAAAAATGTTTGAAGTCGTAGCTCATGAAAATATTTTACTTCAAACATTAGGTAATGAGTTTTTTTCTATCTTTTATAATTAAACAGTTCTTAAAACAAGAACCAATGAACAATTCAGTATGGAGGTGTATACTAGGATGCATCCAATATAGAAGTTTTGAAGGCTCGGATTAAAGGCATACTTTTAAAGATTAATAACAAATAGATGATATAATGTTGTTATAATAAAATCTAACGACAAAAATTAAAGTGTTCGAAATCGCTCGGGAATTAATGTAATTAGGGATGTAACGAATACTGTATATTCGAATACCGTATATTCTGTGCCCATTCCAGTTTTTTTTTTACTTCGGATGCTATGAAGCAGGAGCAGGTGTTCCAGCTGAGCTGTCAGCCTAATGAAGAACCCCCAATGTTTAGTCCCCAAACAAGCTTGGTCCTTCTTTTATGAATCCACTGAAAGTATAAAAGGCTGAGTCAACCTTGAAGAAAAGATACATCTGTACTTTAGAATAGACAAATAACTTAAATAATTTTTAAAAAAAAGTATGAAACTTTTCAAATGACTAATTTAACAAGGTTTTGAGATTTTATAGGTTTAAGAAATAATAATTTTTTTTTTTTTGCAAATAATATTTCAAGTTTGTGAAATAGTGTAATGATGGCATCTTCAAGCTATATACTGAACAAATAACTTATTTATTTGTTAAAGGAAAAACTGAAATATTCTTCATTTACATTGTTTTACCTATTTGCAGAGAATTATCCTATTAGCATAGAGAACGCTTGCTAGACATAAATAAAACTTCACCTAACAGTCAAATAACTGTAGAAGTTCATGACAGTCATAAAAATAGCATATGTACCTTTCTAAAAAAGTGTATTCAGTATGTCAATAAAGCTTTTGAGGAATTACTTTTTTCCCTAAAACACATAAAAGGTAGTATCTTTTGCTTTTCTTTCTCACTAAAAGTTTTTTTTTCTTCTTTTCAATGACATATTTTGTACAATTAGCTTGATTAAGTAGTGCTACAACTATAGGATTAAATCAAAATAATTAAAAATTAAAAAAAAAAGACTTTCTTTAACACAATATTGTAGTTTTGGGGATTGAACAATCTCAGTAGGATAGTGTATTTAAATCTATTATGTAGATCTATTTATTATTACTCTTAAATATTGTTAATGTGTAATAATTTTATTTTATTGTAAAAAAATTCTCAATGTTCTGAAAAATTATGTATCTTATTTTTTACAAAACATGTTTACTCAAAAATATTTGTTAAATTCAANTTCTTTTTTTTTGTTTTTTTTTTAAAATTCAGGAAATTTTCCGGAATTTTGACTTGGGCTCACAATCACCCCTGATTATGTAGATCTATTTATTATTACTCTTAAATATTGTTAATGTGTTATAATTTTATTTTATTGTAAAAAATTTCTCATTGTTCTGAAAAATTATGTATCTTATTTTTTACAAAACATGTTTACTCAAAAATATTTGTTTCATTCAAAAATTATGTAAAATATAAAACTATTAAAATGTGTGTATATATATTTTACGTAAAATTCTATGAAAAAGAAATTAGTTGTAAAGCAGGTGTTCAATTTAATTTTCTAAATTGTGTATTAGCAGACCTCACCACTTCTATAATCACTTTTTTATTTTTAGGATTTGTTCTTGCTATTGAGCATCCTCATACTTATGTTGTTAAAGTCTGTCAATTGGTGAAGGGTAGGTATCTGTATATAAATATAGAACAAGTTTTATTAAAATGAGAATTAATTTAACTTGACAGAAAACTCATTTTTAACACATTGTTGGCACAATCACAAACCTATCAATTAGGCTTATTCGTGTTTTTGGCATGTTGCCAATGACATGTTTATTATCTTTATTTCTGGATATCAATTCCTTACAAATTATGTATGATTATTGGATGCTTATCTATGTCTGTATTAAATTGACACTGAATTTTGTGAGTTTGAAGAGTAAAAGTAAAATATACTTATTATAATTTTGTTTTGCTTTTTTTTCTGATAGTTTTTTTGTTGCTGTTTTTAGAATTTTACTATTTGCATTTAAAAATAGGTTTTTAAGCATCATATTCCAATCTTCAAACTTTTTAAAAAATTTTGTATCTCCATTTGTTAGTTACTTCTTTTGAACTACTAACAAGGGAAACTAGAGAAGTGTGACTCGCCAATTTTGAAATAAACTAGTGGGATGTATGCCTTATGAGGAATTATTTTAGGGGGAAACATTCGTTTCGGCCCATAGAAGGTCCTGTGAAAGATAAAAATTAATTCAATATATAGAAAAATCGGTATTTTATTACTTCAATGCAGGCTATTAGTTATTGTATTTGTCTCATAATGCAATTAATTTGTAATTAATTGGATCATTAATTAATTTGCTAATTAATAAATTAATTAACATTCGTTTCGGCCCATAGAATGTCCTGTGAGAGATTAAAAATAATTCAATATATAGAAAAATCAGTATTTTATTATTTCAAGGCAGACTATTAGTTATGGTAACTGTCTCATAATCCAATTAATTTGTAATTAATTGGATAATTAATTAATTTGCTATTTAATAAATTAATCAGAAAATTAATGAATTATTAATTAATTGTTAATTAATTGTTAATGATTAATTGATAATTTATTATTAATTGATTAATTGATTTACAATTACATACTCCAATTAATTTGGAAAGTTTTTGAAAAAAAATTTAAAAAATTTGATGTCAATTTTTTTTAAAAAATTAACCTAACAGGTTTTTCTGATAAACTATAGATATATAGAATTTTCAAAATCAATTTTGACAACAAATATGCATTATATAGTACGTAAAAGTACCACAAAATTAATTGGAGTATGAGATAATAACTAATAGTCTGCATTGAAGTAATAAAATACCGTTTTTTCTGTATATTGAATTATTTTTTATCTCTCACAGGACCTTCTATGGGCCGAAACGAATGTTTCCCCCTAAAATTATTCCTCATAAGGCATACATCCCACTAGTTTATTTCAAAATCTGCGAGTCACACTTCCCTAGTTTCCCTTGTAAGTGTTCTGACAAATGGATTTTGTCTATTATTTATTGTATAACCTCGATTTAACGGTGGTTGTTGAACTGGATAAAAACATCGTACACTTAAGCAGGGCCATGAAAACTGAAATTTAAATGTATACAAATTTAATTATATCTTGTTAAATACCTAAATAAATCCTTAAACTTAAATGTAATTTATTTAGCATAACTTGGATTATTTTAATGAAAATCTGATATTTTTGTTTGTTTACCTTTTTTGTCTTAAAACATGGTGCATAGCATTTTCAAAAAGTGCTTAAAGGGGCTTATTTTCGTTTTTTAAAAGCCCTTAAAGGTGCTTTTTTCCATTGGATGATATTGTTAAGAGTTCTTAAATTTCCCTTTTCGAAAATGAGATTTTTTTCCCTTACCCTGTCTATTTTTGCCACATATTACGCGAAGGCACACTTTTCACATTATTTTATTCGACGTTTTCACAATTCATTCAACCTCAATCCATTTCATCCTACTGTTGGTCCATAGCGTATGAAAGCGCCAATAATTTTACATGTGTGATGAAATACTTGTGAGTCCGCTTGTGTGTCTACTGAGCTGAGTTCGGTGAGATTCTAGCTCTCTCATGTGCAACTCTGCAGCATTTTGCAAGATATTCTCAACATCGGGGTTTTTTTTCCACCCTCTGCAATGGAACTGAAAAATCTCTCGATCTTTTTATGGTGGCTAATATAATAATAATAATAAAAAAAAAGAGTTCTTTGTCAGAAACTAGTTGTTTTATCATGATCATGTAAAGTCTTTGAAAATTATTTTGCATGTTCTTAATTTATATAGTGCTTGAAAGTAGTAGTTTGAGTGTTTAAAAAGTGCTTAATTTTGGTTGAAATATATGGCTACGCACCGTGTAAAATTTACAATGAATTTTTCGACAATTATTAGACATCTTTTTCTCACTCTCGTTCATCATGTCCTAAAAAAAATAAACTTCAGCTTCTGCATCATAACTGCTGCTTCATTTAATGGCAATGGTGAATCTGAAGATTCACCACTAGATTCACTACTAGATTCAATCACTACTAGATTCAATAATTTCTGCTATTGAAATGGTCTCAGTTTCACAAGTCATCAGACCGTTATCACATTGTGAATGCTCCATAAAGTCATTATCGGGCTCGACATTGTATTTTGAAATGCAGTTAGTATTCTCCTTGATCGGATCTTATGTATAACTATTTTTTCTGAAGCCAATAATGATACAGTCTTTAGAAACATTTCCAGGCTGATGTTTATTAAGTTTAAAGCTTCTAACACATTTATTTATTTTTTTATTTGTTGCAGGGTGCATAGCGTTTTTAAAAAGTGCTTAAAGGTGCTTATTTTCGTTTCTTAAGGGTGCTTTTTTCATTGGGTGTTTTTAAAAAGTGCTTAATTTTTCCTTTTCCAAAATAAGATTTTTTTTTTCTTTGTCGATTTTTGGCACATATTATGAAAAAGCGTATTTTTCACATTGTTCTATTCAACGTTTTCCCGATTCATTCACCACAATCTGTTTCCTTGTACTCTCGGTTTATAGGGTATGAAAGCGCCAATAATTTTACGATACTTTTGGATACTTTTGGATTGTGTGCACAGATACTTTGTTCTTAATATCTTACTATTGCTGCTAAGGAAAAATCACTAACAGAGCAACGGATTGTCTAATGAATACCTAATTTAGCCTCCTTAACTTCTAAATAAAAAAAATTGCTTTTGAAGATTGAAAGCTTAGCAATGGTATTAATACCATAAGAGACATTTTTAATTTCCTTTATTTATTAGTCGTTAATCAAGTATGTAAAATGTAATTTATATTTCTAATACAGTTATGCCTCATAAATATGTGAAGTAATATATGTGTTTTTCTCAATTTATAGCCAGTAAAGATCTTGCCCAAACTTCTTACATAATGGCTACTACCAGGTATAGTAAAATCTTATTTAGTTTTATTGTTTTTTTTCATTGTAATGTTTTTAATCTTCAATTAATAATTTTGTTTTTAGCTATCTTGTACTAAATATTAATTATTCTTTTTACCCATAAACTGTCAACCCCAAGCTGATTTTTAGGTGTATCCTGAGTACTTTCCGGCAAAGCAAACCGAATTTGCACTATTTTATTCAGTGGAAAAGCAAAGCGCAACAGGAAAATTTTCGTTGAAATGTACAGATCGGACGTGACGATTAAAAGAATAAATTAGTGTTTCGACCGAAAGGAGTTTCCTATCATTAGATTACTTTCGTTCTTGAAAGAGGTGGCTATTTTGGAGGGTTTTGAAAAAAAAAACGTACCATCTTTTGTTGTTAATTAAAAAATAAATAAATAAATAAAGATAATAAAAATTGATGTATGAATTTTCTTTCAAAATAATCGATTTATGACTTGTAGTTTGTTCTTTTTTCTCTTCTTTTCATATCAAAGATCGATTGACATGAACAGAACATTACTCCCTTCTTTATAGCCAGTAATAATCACCTTCTATAACAACTAATACTATTTACTGATATTAAAGCCTCCTGTTAATTTTACAAAGTTAAAAAAATTAACTTTTTTGTGAAAATAAATATTTAAAAAAATATATATATTTATAAATATTGTTTAAAACTTTATAAATAAGCTTCTTCCTTTAAAGGCTGGTAATTAAACAACAGTATTTTTATATTAATTTTTTTATATTTGTTTTTCAAAAGCTCTTCATAAAATATGATTAAACTTTTACATCCTGTATTATTAGTCAGTACTCACAAATTCAAATTTCTCGTTAATTTTGTGTAAAAAAAGTAATATTCTCTTTGTTATACTTGATAAATATTCTTTTTATTCACTGTAAATAAAATAACAATAAAGTTTCTTTTGATTAAAAATTTTGCTTAATGTCTTTTTAGAGCTGTTAATGATCTCCACAAAATTTTCTTCACCTATTTTGTGATACTTTTTTGTTTGTAATAATTTTTATAGACAATAAAATAAAATTTCTGACACACTATTTTGAAAACTTGAATTGATTGCCTTGTCCAATTGAAATAAATTTAAAAGATCTTAACCAGATAAGTGGGAACGCTGTTATCTTAAAATCCGTCCTCATTACAATAAATTTCTTTAGTATTTAAAAAAAAAAAATCTTTTCAAAGAAAGCTTGTCTTTTTCGATTTCCCAAGGGGGGGGGGAATTCCTATTTCCTACGCAGACATGGTTTAAAATTATATTAACGTGATGTGAAATCATGCATCACAATTCGTGTTTACAAGATTTTAAAAGGAAACATCGAGATTCATATATGTGCTATTTTAAAGTCACTCTTTGAGATTCATATTCACACAATATAAATAAATGAAATTTTGCCTTGATATTTTTACTAAATGTTAATAACATTCTGTGGATAAGTGCTAATTTTAGGTATTTTTTCAATTATTTAAAGTGTTTTTGCACATAACATTTTTGGATTACTATTTCATGCCTGCCAATTTTTGCTCTTTCTTCTGAGAATGGATTTTCCAAGTGCTTGTAAAACAAGTACCGAAAAACAATCTTACACCAAAATGCATTTTAACCTGGTTGAAATTCGCTATCCTAAACACTTATGCTTCTGTTGTAATTATTTGTATGTATTGGCTGTCAAACTCATTTATAATTATTAAAATTCTAAAAGCCTAATGGAATAACATGAGTTTTGTTACTACTCTAAATAGGAAAATAAAATCTTCCGGGAAAACCATAAGAGTCGGCAGCGATGCTATTTTCAGCTTTTTTAGTTTTTTAGTAAACTCATTCCTGTTGTATGAATCAATGTAGAGATTTATAGAAATTAAAACATTTAAGGAAAAATCTCCAATTTTCAAACAAATTTCACCAAAATGAAGTGGAGACAAAAGGTTTGGAACTCATTACTAGATTTGCTTTCAGAAAGTTTTTCATTTTTCACAGTCTACTCCGAACAGGATTGTTTCTCCTAAATAATTTTCTAAAGATCTTGGTTTAGCTTTTTTTTCCCCCCCTCATTCAGAGTATGTCATTTCCTTTTATGTTGGGTCTTGTGATCTGTTTGCTTTCTTTACTGGCATGTGCCTTTTTTTATTTCATCACTTACCAATTAAAGGAATCCTTATAATACATTTATAACTTTGAATATTGATAATTAAGTTATCTATATTCCTAGTACTCCATGTATTATTATAACAAAAAGTAGATTACACACATTCTCATAAATTACACAAAATCATATAAATCTCCCCTTTCAGAAAAAAGCTATATGTGTTTCAGGATAAATTGTTCGAAAGTCTGTCACCTCACCTTTTCTTTTCGTATAGTGGACCAGTAAAACCAGAGATTTTGGTGTGGTGCAATGTAACTAAAATAATTATTATACTATTATTCTTTCATAGAAATTGCAAACCCTAACTCCCTGGCATATAGGGTTGCCACTGGCGACTAAAATGTAACTAGTTTTGTCTGAAATGTTAAAAAAGCAACTATTTTCTGGAAAAGGAGACTATCGGAAGACTTTTTGTACTCCTAGCGATGTTTTTTTTAAAGCATAAATTGGGTTGAAAACCTGCAGCACGCAACACACGTATTTTTTTTTCCTAAAAAATTTTGAACGGCAAATTTGAGTCATCAATTTTTAATTTGTTCGATTTGTACAAATTCCATTGTAAGTCTATTTTGTTTCTCAGTCGCCTTTTCAGTGGTTATTGCTTAGAAGTTCCACATGATTTTAAAAAATCCAATTTTTAATACAATATTATGATGCTTGAATTTAGAAGGGAAAACTGTTTAGAAAGAGTATGTTTTTTTAATGAAAAATTATTTTTTGAATGATTTCTAGTAATTAAAAATATTTATTTTTCTGCAAATATACTAATTGTTTTGATAGACTAGGACACTAACGTTTATATAAAAATTATCATATTTGCCTCCATCTTGTCTAAATGGATCATGTTATAGACAATTAAGTCATTTAATAAAACTTAAGTCATATTTTTGATGAGTTTTTGTTTTTATATAGGCAACTATTTTCATGCTTTAGGCTACTAAAAGCAACTATTTTGTTCATTTTTTTTCTGTGGCAACCCTGTTAATATTTCAATGAGACCCTACGGCAGAATGTTTCTGATTTTTTGCAACAAACTTCCCTATCACTCAAATCAAGAAATTTTTAATAGTAAAGAATATACACAGTACTAATTTATTATAACAGAAGCGCCATAATAAGACTGCTTATAACTTTAAAAAAAAAAAATTGTAAATGTAACACATTTTTGAACAATACACAAAAGAATATATTTATATATTATGGGCGATATTCTCATAGGTAAAATGGGGAAACAAAGATGAATTGTTTGTTTCCTTAGCATTTCGCAAGTCATCTCGTTTTTTATTCTTTTTTTCTTCTTCAAAAGTCTTGAAATTCATAGCAGTAACTGCCAAGCAATAAAAAAAAAATCTAAGACAAAATCACAAGACTCTTCAAAAAAGCATTCTTGAAATGCGTGTTTCAAATTTGCAGTTGTAATGAGTAATACCGTATTAATATCTGATTTTAAAAACTATGTTGAAATCAATTGCAATAATAGCCAAAAAAATCATTCAAAAAGGAAGAGAATCGCTGTGTCAAAGAGTAAATACTCTAATGCACGATTCAAATTTTCCATATTGCATGAAATATATTGGGATCCGTAAAAAACCATGTGAAAAATCAATCGAAATAGAACGTAGATACATGAGACTTAAATTGAGTGCGTCAAAAAGTGATTATTCAAATGTGCAATTTAAAATTTACGGGTTATAATGTCGAATGAAAAATACCAGAACTTTAAAAACTTTATGGAAATCTGTAGCAATAACTGCTGAAAAGTCTATGAAACAGTCGAATCTGCACATTAAAAGTGAATAATCAGATGTGCAATTTGAACATGAAAAACATTGAGATATTTTTAAAACAAAACAATGTAAATATTTGTAGGGTGCAAATTGAACATGGAAAGAAAAGATTACTTAATTGTTTAACTACCACTTGTGTCGTAATAATTTTGTTATTTTAAAAAAATCATATTTCAATAGTAATAACTGAGTAATAAAAGTCATTGGGGACTAAAACTCTGGTGAAAATTTGCTGCATTTCTTCCCCCCTCCAGCATGTGAGAGAGGCAATCTTTTCGAAAAAATTCTTCGTATAAGGAAACCAAAATCTTCTGTTTCCCAGATGAAAACTCTTTCTGCAAGAACTCTATAGCATGTTCCAAGATTTACACTCTATATAAATTACTTTATTTAGGCACAAATAGTGAAAAGGATAAAATCAAATTAAAAGTTAAAAAGAAATTTACTGTAACTTGTAGTTGAACTTAGCAATTCAAAGCATCAGAAACTGAAAATACTTGATGTCTGAGAGAGGGGATTAAATGAAATTGCAAAAGCTAAAAATTGAATCCAAATACCAAATTTGGCCTGTTATCTTTTTTTTGTCTGTCTTCCTCTTCCTCAATGAATTAGGATTTATCTTGGACACTTAAATTCTTACGTAGTTTAGAATCGCCTAATATTAAATCTATGTTTTCTAACGAAGACTCCTGTATTTTACAACTATTTCCTCTTTACCGGTATATTCTCAAATTTCTCCTTATTTGCTGTAGAAATTAAAAAAAAAAAAAAAACAAATGGTGAAAAAATATCCTTAGGTGGCAAATATACTTCTCTTATTCCTCAACAGATGGTGCTATTGCCAGTACTGCAGTCATGGCCGGATTAACCTATAGGCACACTAGGCACGTGCCTAGGGCNACGAAGACTCCTGTATTTTACAACTATTTCCTCTTTACCGATATATTCTCAAATTTCTCCTTATTTGCTGTAGAAATTTGAAAAAAAAAAAAATATAAATAATAATTGGTGATAAAATATCCATTGGTGGCAAATATACTTCT